TGTGGAATATGTTAAGCAGTATTCAGACAATATCTCCAACAAAAATAAAACCTACTGGGATGAATCAAAAAAACAAACTATCCAGAAAAAATGTACCTAGATGATAAAATGATTTTTAAATTTCTTGTTTTAATGCAATGTATATGTACAATTTCTTGTTTTAATGTAATGCTTGTCAGATGTTTTTGGATTTATTTATCCTTTGTTTTGGTTACTGAAATTTTATAATTACCAGATAAAATTTCGTAGTTAAATTGTTTATTTTTTATGTGGATCGCGGTGTGCAATTCGTTCATTTAATTGTGGGAATTTCTGAGTTAAGTTCGTTCATTGGCCGGATACGGAATATGGCAGTGGAAAATATTCTAGAACATCGTTTTTTATTTATGCCTTTTTGTGAGTTGGACTAGAGTAAGTATATAGTTCTCTATCTATATCCTGGAGGGAGATTTCCGGTTGAAGTCTGGTTTTGTGAAGGAAATCCAATCCTTGCATGACTTCTTGTCTATCCACCGTCCGAATAGCGTCGTGAAGAATTGGCTGCCGTTTCGTGAAACATTCCCTGTTGGTAGTTAGCAGGTCTTCGTAGAAAAGGATTAAGTCTTCCGGAACATATTTGGTCAGAGAGGTGGTTGTATTTTGTTGATTTGTATGGACCGCCGACCAATTTCCGCAATGGGATTAAAATAGCGAAAATTTTCCGACCGATATTCCGATTCCACGTGCCGAAGAGTTCCAAGAGCAAGAAGACCGATCCAGACCGTAGAGCACAGAACAGTCCAGAATTCCATCCGTTCCTGTTTTCCGTGTAGAGGTACCCGTTGGACATCATAAACCCTCGTTGAGGTAAAGTTCAGATTTAATTAGTCCTTCTTTATTACCTTTATTGACACCTACACGTTGTGCTCGTCCTTGTTCTATAATTGAGGCTCTTTTCTAAGACAACCAATATTATTTAGGGTTTTTTTATGTTCACCATTTGAAACACCTGCATCAATACATTTGCTGACGGGCTCCAGTGACAGTACACCGAGCTGTAGCCACCCGGTAGCTATGCACTATGGCTAAGCCGGAGGAAGTTTATGTATTTTTCAAGTCCATACATCGAGTAGAGTAAGACTATACAATTTTAGTTTAGGTTTAGATTTGCTATTTGTATTCTGCCCTTAGAGCATACTTAGTTTAAGTTAAAGGGGATGACGTCTTGGTTTTAGTATAGCTTAGACCATTTTCATTTATTCTTATCGAAAAAGGTCCGATTAAATTTATATCTCCGAAACTAAAGTTCCAAGAAAAGTCGTAATATATGTACAAATTCATTTACCCACTAGTAGATATAAAAAGCATTTTTGGTAAACTCTGTCTCAAATAGTTTCTGAAAAATAAAATTAATTTTCTTAAAAAGGTCCGATTAAATTTATATCTCCGAAACTAAAGTTCCAAGAAAAGTCGTAATATATCTACAAATTCATTTACCCACTAATAGATATAAAAAGCATTTTTGGTAAACTCTGTCTCAAATAGTTTCTGAAAAATAAAATTAATTTTCTTGATCATTTCATCATTTTCTTTATACATTTAACTTTTTTGATATTTCAATAAATTTCTTAAATATTTTTAGTAGCATTATTTGCAGTCTAGTCTCATAGTTAAGCTGGAGTCACTTCTTTTTCTGAGGGCTTCCTCTTCTCTCGGCGAACATTTGACGATCTTGGGCAGCTCGAGATAACGAGTGTGCATCCATACCCGTCAAATCTCTGATGTTTTTCAACCATGAATGCTTCTTCCTACCAATACCCCGGTTGCCCTCAATTTTTCCCTCCATTATCAGTTTTAACAACTCATTTCCACTTCCACCATATGACCCAGATAGACTGTCTTACGTGTCTTGGCTATGTC